GGAAGTGGTTTCACTTGGCCATTTGCTGGAGTGACAGTAGGAGTGAGTCAGTGCGCGATCGAACTCTGAAACATTTCATTAACAAGTGTCGATCTTAGATAATGTGGTTGTATAGATATTTTATACCGATTTGGATATTATGGTATCAGGTTGCAAATAAGTGGTGGTAAAATCATGAATAAATTGTAATATGTAATATGCTTGAATGATAAGATCAACGTGTTTTGGGCAAGCATAACAAAGGATTGCAAGTAATGAGGGATTCAGTTTCCACATGTAATACACATCATGTAAGAAACTGAAAAATGTAACTTAGGAGAATCAAACCCTAGTGGGTGCTGAAAGAGCTCGTGATACGAAGCTGTTTCCCCTAGAAGTAACAGTGGAGTTGGGTTAGAGCAATGTTATCTCACTTAAGCACCTTCACACTTCCTATTATTATACTGTAGATAGCCAGCTGCCGAATTTCATTGGTAGATAGTTTGTCTTCTATTAGTTACTGTTAAAAAGTAATTATCCTGATACTATCAGTTGCTGATCTTTAGTATATAAACGCCCTTTGAGGTAGAAGAGCCCCTTGCGGGTTTCACCAAAATTCATCTTCCTCTAAGATTTCACATGGTATCATATTCTAACTCAGCCATCTAGGGTTTCCTTACCCAAACCATACCCACACTCATAGTAGCATTCCACAACAATGGCTACAATCTCCACATCTTCCTCTTCAACCCTTTCTACCTTGAACACAGTGACAACCCCATATTACATTAACCCTAATCAGTCTTTAGTTTTCCATATTATGTTCATTGGACTAATTACAATATGAGGATCAGAACAGCTCATGTTGCTCTCAAGAGCAAGAACAATCTTGGATTTATAAATGGGTCGATTCCATCTCCAGACCCATATGAACAACGTTATCTTTCTTGGGAACAAATCAATAGTGTAGTTTATTTCATGATTTTTGGTTCTCTAGATCCACACTTGGTTGACAGTGTTTTGTCACAAGACGACGCAAAGTTGTTATAGGAAGATCTTAAACAACATTTTAGGCAAGCAGACAACATCAGGATCAGTGAACTACAATTTTTTATATCTATACTCTGAAGTAAGGTAACATATCATTTAATCAATATTACTCTGAGTTGAAGGGTGACTGGGAAGATCTTGTTCAATTCTTGTGTATACCTAATTGCAGTTCACAGGCGAGTGATCGCGTGTAGTACGTGGTGTCAAATTTATCTAGTTTGAAGGTCAGGATCAGATTACTTAGGGTCTCTCACAACCACTTACTCAGTTAGAGAGGGAAGATTCTATGTTCGAAGAGCATATGTAAGAGGTTGAGGTGCCTCTGATTTAGCAAATAGAAAGTAAAAGAAAAGACAAGTTCAAAAAAGAAAACTAGAGCTAATGGGCGAGTGAAGGAAGGTAGAAGAGGAAGGCGTTGCACAGACAAGCTCCCCCTAGAGTTCCTAGAGGCATGCCCTCGATATCGGCAACATACTAGTTGTTGATTTCTTATGTCATCTAATCTCGCCATATGCCGAAGCATTTACCCAAACTAGTTGTGAGAAGGACCCTACAAATTTCTTCCTAGAGGCGTCACGTCGTTTAATAGAATGATGATCAATTGATAGATACATCATGTTTGGTCTTCTTCTAGGCGTTTAGGGTTTTGATACTTACACCGGGAATGAAAGTAAGTCCGGCCAAGCATCCATTCGAATCAACAAAAGAATATAGAGGAAATCAAACAAAAAATATAGAAAAATGAAATTAATCATATTGAATACCTAACATCGAGTTTACACATCTAGAACCTCTAGGGTTAGCAAATCTTTGCAACTAATAGAAATAGTTGGGCATGAGGATGATTTTCTAAGGTTTCACCAATTGAAACGAAGATCCCAGAAGACCTTTGAAAACGACAAAAATAATGGAAAAATTGGGGCTTAGGCCACAGAATTTTCCACCGTTATCTCCCTCTTAACACCGATTTTGCTCTAAGTCGGGTGAGTTACTGACACGCCAAAACACAACACCAATCTGCGACCAAGTGTAATCGCAGATAACAGGCAAGTTATATTATCAACCCGGGGTCTAGATCTACTGCTTACTCCGTGATTCTCTATTATCTAGCCAACTAAAGTAAGTGATTGTTGTTTAAAATCAAAAGCAGAAAGAAAGCAGGAATTGATACGGTTTTCTCAAGCAGGTAAGAGTCACTCGGGAATGAGTCCCCCTAGCTCCTTAGTTAGGTTTCAATTGTCTTTCCCTGGGTTGATTTACTGTTGATTAGACTGCGGAAGATCCGACAGTAGCTTGGAATCTCTTAAGCTGACCAAGCCCTCTCAGTCTATCTACCCGGCAGACGACTAGTCTTCACCGGGATAGAAAGCTGAAGCAGTAAGAACAGAACTCCACTACTGGAATTAGATTCTAGTACAAAGCAGTACACTGGCTAACTCTCGTATAGCCAATCTCCTACTACCGAATGATGAGACTCTAGCAACCTAATCAGATTCTATCTATCTCAGATTGCAGCAGGAATCAGGAAAAGTTGATCAGACTTCAATTGACTCAATAAACATGCATCATTCGATTAAAATCAAACAGTAATATCATCCCAAGTCATTACAATCAATCCCTAACACATAGAACTAGGGTTCTTCATCCCCAAGTGAGAGAGGGGTTCTACTCCATAGAGAGAGAGAGGAAAACAAGATACAAAGCAGTCATACTCATAATTATGGGAAGAATCTGCTCTAGGATGATGGTTTCCACTCCTATGACGATCTCCAAGCTTGATTTGATGAAACCAAGCTCCAAGATAGCTTCTAGGATGTGTTCTTCGTCCTTTCTCTCTAGGGCTCTGTTTTTGCTCCAAAAATCTGATTCCCTCTCTTGCAGCCCGAAATTGGGTTAAAACCATGAATTCCCGACTCACACGGGCTGGGCCACACGGCCGTGTGGCATACCCAGTTGACCGTTTGAGTCAAAACGCTGCGTTCCAATTAGTTCGATCTTCAGGCTTCCCACACGGCCAGGGTCGCACGGCCGTGTGTGATTTCCATCCTTCCCGTGTTTGCTCTTGCACAATCTCACACGGCCAGACCACTCCTTCACACGACCGTGTGGATATCAGGGCAAGCCGTGTTTGCTCTCGCACAATCTCACACGGCCAAAGTGGTCACTTGCACGGTCGTGTGAGTTGTGGGTGTGCCCGTGTGGCCTCCTTTTTGACTTGCCTCGCGCCCGATCTTCGTCCAATCGACCCCAAACTCGCTCCCAAGCCTCCATTCACGTACTAGGACCTGAAATATCACAAACAAACACAACCTAGCGTGAAATCGGCCTAAAACACGAGAAACCACATCTCAAACGGTGTAAGAACAGGGGTGAAAACATGTGTAATTAACGGTCTATCAGTTACTCTGTCGACAAAATAACATCCCACTAATGCTTTCTATCTCGGCTACCGAGTTTTGAACCCTAGGGACCGATTTATATGCCTAGGATTAGAGTTTCTATAGAGAAGAACTCAACATTGATGCGTCACCCAATCAATCAGAAGAATCCCTTAGTGGAATTACTATTTCAGGTTAAGTCTGGACGCCTTTCTAAAAAATGTGGACTCTCTTTGAAATGGTTGGCACAAAGCCGTTTTAGATATTGGGTTGTTGATTCGTGAGCATTTTTTGGGCCTTGGTCTTCTGTTTGAGTCTTGCTCCCAACAGCCGAGCCTCGATGTCCCTCAATGATCCCACATGGTCCTCTCGCCGGCTTTGACCTGAAAATGCACAAAATGCTACCAAAAGCGTATCGTAATAACAAAAGCAGTTATGGAGCTACTAAACAAAACTTTGAGCATTCACATAGAAAATTGAAGGTATTATGATGAGGAATATGAGAAATTAATGCACTTTTGGTATTAATACGAGGGTCTAAAATAGCGTATACTTTGTGTCATCAAATAACCCCACGCTTGAACTTTGTTGTCGCCAAGCAAACCTAAGCTAAAAAAATGTACAACTCATAGGACCTCTAAGATGACACTTGATTTCTTATTTTCGGTAGTGGATCATAAGGAGCTTACAAGGCCAGTCCTCGCACTTAGAGAGCCTTGATCATGACGATGAAGTGTGAAACGTACTTCATAATAATAAAATGATTCGTCGGCTGATAATTGTCGAAAACATATTGATTCTATGTGCTTAATGTGATTAGGGGAAAAATCTCTATTAGACCGGTTTTAACGGATTTCGAATGAAAAACTAACGGAAGGGTATGTTTGAGAATTTGTTGATAGTGGTGGAAGGGCATATTTGATATTATTTAAAGTAGAGGTGCATGTTTGAGAAAAATGCATAGTAGAGGGGCATATTATACCTATAACCCATTTTTTATTGACATCGACATGTCATTAAGTTAACCATCCAATCAGTAGCCATGTTTGCCACGTCATCAAAAAATTGACGGAGACTGACGATCGGTGACTAACGGTGAAATGATTCATAAAGTTAGTGACCAGACATATAGTTTAGCCAATACTGAAAAAATATGGAATAAAGTGACATTTAGACCGGATCAAAACGGACCGGATTCAATGCTCATCTGATCCTATTATTCTTAACATATGTTTATTGGGCCACGGACCGAACCGAACCGATCACAATTATCTTCTCTACACATCCTCCCATAATTTATAGCCGTTCTTCGGCAACTTTTCTCTATTTTGAAATCCCTGGCTTCTCCTTCATTCTCGCTAGGGGAAATTGTGGAAACTACATTCGCTACTGGATCTCCTTATTTTATTACTGGGAAAAAGCAGCAGTCAATCCCCCGACGATGGCGACCAGAAAGCAAGGTTATTTTTTTGTCCGATCGATGAAAAAAAAAAGACGCCGGCGGACTGACGTTTCGCTAGCGACGAAGGTCACCACGGCGGGGATTGGCCTGGACCTTAAGGGGTAATAGCACAAGCTTCCTAGTAAGGGTATCTCGACCAGAATTGGCCGTTCCCGTGGATTCAGACTATGTACGCAGATGTAGGTAGTTGGAATAGGGTTAGTTCCAGTGGAGGTTCATCGCAGTCTTCAATTTTGTGGTCTCAACTTTGCTATTGGCAGGTAAGTTTTTCGGACCCAATTATATGAGTTTTGTTGCCGACTAGAAAACCAATGCTCATCAGTCTGATTCTGGGTTTGCTTTCTGGTGATTGGAGTTGTCGTCGGGATTTGGTGTTTCGAGGGAACAACATAGCCCAATATTAGATGAAGTAGAAGCTTTTGGTGGATCTGGCTCCATGCTTCCTCACAGCTCAACCCCACTACGTTTGAGCAGCAGGACATGTTTCTTTTCCCCTCTAGGAGGAAATTCAAGGGCAGCATGAATTGTATGAAGTTCTCTATTTTCAACCCTGTAAGTTGCCTTATCCTAATTTCTGATTTGGCCTTCTCATAATCCCTAATTGAAAAACCTTTTGAATCCTGATTATGGGGTATTATTTGTGGGGGAATAAACCAGGTGGAGAGGTTATTTGGGCTATCAATTAGTCAGGTACAGGCTCATACTTCCTATGTTGAGGAACAATTAGAGTTGACTAACAAGCTCCTAACTGATTGCAAAAAGTAGATTCAAGTTTGTTGTTAGGTCTGGTGGTATTTTTATTTACAACATAGAGTCATATATCCATCTATATTTTCATTTATTTGTTCTGCAATCTTTCACCACAAGATTAGCAAGGTTGATTCAAGTTTTGATCTCGGACAAGTAAACTGTTTTACATACTTTTCAGTTGATCTATTCCTCTCTTTCGTCGGTCTTATGTCATTAGGTTAATTCTCTCTAGCGATCTCCACTTCCCGGAGAATGTAAATCATCTCAGTCATACCTCATCCGGTTTTGGGAAGCTGCAATATTGGCTCATTCTTTTCCTTTTTGGCATTTCCCCTCTTTTGCCATTCGTGTGTGGTAGAGTTCATATATGTCGCCATGTGCTTTGATGGATCTTGCTTCCTTCCTTGAATTGGGGTTTTTAAAGTGTCAATTGGTCATGATACTGGAGATAGAACACTTCTAGATGGTGAGGAACTAATAGATTATGTGGATTTTGAAATTAACTTAACCTTATACCCTTTACGGTCGAGATTTAGAGTTATAGGCAATCTAGCAGTTATAGTGGATGAACGAGAAATTCAGTTTCTTCAGTCTAATATGATACAACTGTTTAACGAAGTGGTTTTGTAGAGGGTGGTGTTGTTGAGAGATATCTCCATGAGAAAGTTTAGTGAAGAAACATTACTTAAATTTATTTTGCGCGAGGCGATCCATTTTTCTGAATTATCTCTCTTCTTTTCACTAGATCTATGCCTTCGTCGATCATGGTTGTTGTCGGCGGCCAAAATTATTTTCAAATATGGGTGCTTCCAGTCGAGGTTAGTGGACGCTTTGAATTTATCATCTCAACTGTGAGATTGACAGGAATTACTTTCGTGTAACACATTTATTTTAGAGTTGCCGCCAAATAGGCATATGTGTGATTCGAGTTTGTTTTATGGTAATTGGAGTTATCGTCAGGGTTTGTTGTATTTGGTGTTGTCCTCAAGCGTTGTTGTCCTGAAGCTTCACTGAATTAAACTCGGGTTGCAGTGACTTGCTACTTCCATGCATAACTTTGCGAGAAAGCGTAGCTGGAACGTGCCTTGAAATATCAACTATTAGGATGTGAATGCCTTGCTAGATTGAAGATCCTCCAGTAAGCACCCTTCATTCTCCTCCTTCTTCTTCTTAACCTGCAAATGCACCAACTATTTCTAATAGTGGTCATTAATTTTTATTGTTCGTTCAATAGGTTGGGTTCCATGAGTTTGGCTTATCGTAGGTGTTTGGTGTTGAATCCTAATTTTTGATAGTATCACCTCGAACCATTCGTCAAGTATAGTTACAAATACATGTGTTGCACTGTGAATGGAGATTTGTAATACACGTGTTGCACTGTGTGATTGTGCTTGCCTGGTTTGGGTTGATCTAATATTTGTGCTACTGGTAGTACCACCCCAGCCCGTAGGAATCAAATACACTATTAATAGAACCTAATTATGAATCTAACCGAATTGAGCCTCATGAATTCAGTGGATGTATGGTAGATCTTAATGGCTTTAGTGTTTGTCAATGAAGCGGTTTGTGTCAATTTGGATTGTTCTACTGCAATTTGTGGTTGATCACTGTTTCGTTGTGCTTGATGAATCTATATATTCGTCTTCTGAAATTGATAAATCAATTCCTTCATATTATCCTGTATTTCGCTTCATCTTTTTCAAATTCCATATGTTTATGTTGAATTCCCTCTGTTTTGTGTTGCCGATATGATGCCATTATTGTGGTGGGAATCATATATATAGAAATACGTTCATTGCATTTCAGCCTGTGATTTGTTTCACTTTGGAACAATTGCAGGTCATTTTTCTTTCTCGCTAGGCCCACCATTTTCCTTCATGGTGATTCTATCTAGGTTGTTGTTAAAAATAGTAATTGATAAGAAGCCACATTGGTGGGAAATCATGAATTGAGAAAAGTAAGCGGGTGGTGCACTGTGTGATTGTGGCTGAGTGGTTTGGGTTTATCTAGATTCCGTGGTATTGGTCGTACTTGGTAGTACACCAGCCCGTACATATGAATTACATGATTAATATAACCTAATTACGAAACTATCTCAATTAAGCTTTCATGAATTCAGTCAATGTCGGGTAGATTTGTAGGACTTTGTTGTTTGTGAGTTGTTTCTATGAATTTGGTTTGTTGGGCTGCAATTTGTGGCCTAATACAGCAATCACTATTTTGTTGTCTTCGATGAATTTATGAAATAGCCTTATATAATTGAAAAATAATTTCCTTCATACAATCCTTAATTTTTGTTCGTATTTGTCAAATTATATATGTTCATAGGGAATCTGTACTATGTGTGTTGCCGATATGATGTCATCTTTGAGTTGGGCAAGATATGTAGAGACAAAGATTCATTTCATTCAGTTTCCATTTCATCTGTCTGTTGATTGTAATTTGTTTTTCTCACTTTAGAATGATTTGAGGTGATTTGTGTATCTATTACTCTGTCTAGGCAATACTAGCTTGGTCCTTCATTAAACAACCTAAAGAGTTGTGGGTCGGTCCTAATCAAGTGGAATCTCAATCCTTTTCACTCTCACTTGCTTTCTCTCCAATTCTACAAGTGGGTAATATACAGTAATCCAGCAAACGGGGCCGGGTAATAAACTAGTATACTATCCATTTGAACAACCCTACTCAAATCGCTCATGCTCGAGAGCTTCGACCGACTCGGCTACTCCTTGTCCGATTGTCACGTAATCGCAGTAGGTTGGGCCTGATAAAACAGGGCCGAACTCTGTTCTTTGATATGCCAACTGAAAGTTATTAACAAAGGGACCAATACAAGAGAAGAGGCTATTCGTCCCTTTCGAAAAGTTGACTGAGAGCCCAACCCACAAGCCACAACCAAACTCCCTTTCTCCCTTCCTTTCCATGGAGATAAGATCCAATCACTCACAGGATCTTCTTCCCCCTTCATTTCCCTCGTCGAATTCTGACCGTTTAATTGAATCCTCTCCAATGTCTTCAACTGATTCCACACTAAAAAATTTCCTCCGTCTCCCACCAGAGCAAGAGGGAGCAGGGAGAGAAAAAAAGCATCAACCATGAAGTCCCTCTGCTGCCACTCTCCCCTCGTCCACAGTTCTTCCGCAGAACTTACAGTTACAGCCCTGTATAAACCATCAATCCCCAATTCTCACAAGAAGCTTCCAGTTACAGCTGCATCCAGCTCGTATTCCTTCCCAAAGTCTCTGCCTTTAGTAGCCACAGCTGCTGCTGCTTCTGTCGCCATACTTCTCTCCGCAACCCCAGGTTCCAAAACCCAGAAACCCTTTTCCTCTGATTTCGTTCACCGTTCGACGATAAAAGCTAGGTGGGGACTTGTTTGGAAGAAAGCTTATATCTTGACGGGGTTTTGGTCATTTTGTTGCAGCTGAGGCAGGGTTTATGTCTGGGTTCTCTGGGATTGAATCAGTACCCGGTCCTGAATTGCCTAAGATGGACTTCCTCACCCGCTTCAATGGTTTTTAGCATTGCTTTCTTTTGTATCTCTTGTGGATTTGACATTCAATTCCAGGTTATGGCAATGGCTTCTGCTCATATGGTCTCCCAATTTCCTGCTGCAGAAGACAATCAGAAGAAGTATGCTGAAGAGGATGAAAGATTCAAGTCATCTCCCATTCTCAAGGAGCTACTGGAAAAATCCAAGCTCAACAAGGAAAAGTAATGGTTTCTTTTCTTGTTCAAGATAAGCTATATCCCTCTGTATCTAGTCCCACGACTGGTGCTAGTTCATTACTGCATATTAGCTCAAACTGCTTGCTAGGTGAAATTCAAATATTGAACCTTAACCCATTTTCCAACACTCTTTCAAAAGGAAATCTGCCCACTAGAAGGCTTGAAGTTTACGCAAATGCATCGATATCTTGTAAATAAATTTACCATTTTACTGTTTCGATCACTACTGGGATTACTATGATTTGAAGGCACGACATTAACGAGTTAATCCGAGGCAACAATTACAAATCTTTGATTCATAAGCTTTTCTAGGCTGGAAGAGAGGAAGTGAAAAGCTAAATGATTATGACAATTAAGCTGGTTTTTGTGCTAAGATCATGTCTAATTTTGGATATTTGTTTTCTTAGATCTCACAAGTGGCTGATGAATTTCTTGAATGGAACCATTTTTGCAGGAACAAGCAGGAAATACAGGACAAGTACTGCCTTCGAGGCGCGGAATGGGGAGTTGGTGATTGTTCAACAGAGGGCATGTCTCCACAGCAAAGAGAAGAGTTCATAGCCATGCTGAAGAAGAAGACTGGAATAGAAGAATGAAATGAATGGACCTTACTCCAAGCTTTTACTTCTGGTTTTGTTTAGCAGTTAGTCTTAGTCTATCGACTTCAGGAATTCATTTCACATTCTCTACTGAGCTTCTGAACCCATCACTTGATTGGAATCCTGTCAAATGAAAGCAACCAAGTACTAGTGATTTACTTGATCATGTTGCATGTTCGTCGCCATTTGGGATGTTCCATAGGTCAGCATCAAGTAATAATCTCACAGAAGTGAGGACAGGCAAAAGTCCCTACTTTTTGGGGACAATATGTAACCCGCTTGCTCTTGGGATCCCCATGCCATGGCCCATGGGCACCATTTTTTCTTATTGCCATTGTTGCAAAACAATCACAGTAAACTACAACGTATATCAACCTCATTCCATATGTGTATCATTAGTTAGGCTAAGTTAGCATTGAAAAACAATCATCAGAACTACCCACTCAGTAAGTCACACTAGCCACTCGACTCTACTCTTTCCAACTCAGTTGCTATGTACAATATCTAATAAAACCTATAAATCAAGGATCCAAATCAATTAATTCACATCCAGATTCACTCGTAACTAAATGAAACTCTAGCTGATACTCTCAATTTGGCACCTATATGTATCTAGAACGGTCAAATCTATCTGCCACAACCTTAATCGGAGCCTAACTCACATGCAGCCCAAATTAACCAAAATGTCAATGACACTTAATGTGCCTTACATGCAACCTGGTTAACTTGCAAATTGATTGACCTACAATCAAATAGTCGATGACTCGATTGCCTTGCAACTTCATTGGCAAGTAATCTTTTTTTTTATTTTTTATAGAACATTGGCAAGTAATCAAATCAACCAATAACATGATACTATGACTTGATTCACATGTGCCTAATCAACCTAGTCCAATTTCAATCTAACCCATCCATTTTAGAAACCCTATATATAGTAAATCGTTTTTGTTAATTTATTTTATTAAAATACAAAAGGATCTAAAATTATAGTTGAATTTAAAAAAACATGAGTTGACTTAACATAGACAAAAGACAACGAACAATTACATAAATGATAGAATTTACGTACTTCGATATTGTGTCTACAATTATGAGGATCATTGCACCCTGATTTACCTGAAAGTATTGTAACTTGATTAATTTTCATTTTTTATCTATGAATTCGATACAAAAATTTAAGTTCCTCTGTGGACTTCTTCCATTGTCCTGCAAATCCTTTTGAATCTCAAAGCTAAATGAACATGTTAATGGTGGATAACGGAGTTGGGATTTGATACATGTTTAAATCTATACCATTATACGAAAACTACCATTGCAGAAATAAATCTATATCATTACACGAAAATTACCATTGCAGAAATAAATCTATACCATTACACGAAAGTTACCAATATAAACAATCTATACCATAAACAATCAATACCATTGCATAAATAAATCTATATCATTACACGAAAACTACCAATATAAACAATCTATACCATAAACAATCAATACCATTACAGAAATAAATCTATACCATTACACGAAAACTACCAATATAAACAATCTATACCATTGCATATGGTAACCAATACCACTACACATTGAATCAATAAACAAAAAATTACTAGGTCTAGGTTTTTATGTCTATTATGGTTGTATATGGCTGCTACTGTCCGCCAAAATCATATCTTTGGTACCAATTCTTTAACAGTGAATGAACAAGATTTGACTGCAACATGATTTGACACGAAAGGTGACCCTACCAATTGCAGGAATGAATTAGCAGGTACGAGCTTGTGGAGGCAAGCAGTGGCGGGAAATTAAGCAGACACAATCTCCACATTCAGCAATTAGGTCCCGACACACACACACACACACACAGTGAGAGAGAGAGAGAGAGAGAGAGAGAGAGAGAGAGGGTACCGACACAGAGGGGAGGGAGGCCGCTGCGGTGGCCGGGGCTACTGCCGGCGGTGCGACGGGAGTGGTACGTGGAGGTGGCTACGACGGGTTTGGCTGGAGGGAGGATAGAACTAGGGTTTGGGTAGATTATATAGAATAATCAGGTGTGATCACTTTTTAATTTCCAAAATTACCCTAAAAGAATCTTGACCGTAAGATTAAAAAATAAGGGAAAATAATTAATCAAATGATATATAAAGAGGTTGCCACCGTGATTACTAAAAAAATAATTAATCACCCTAACCCATTTCGGCAAGTTCTTGTAACATTGGGGTCTCAGCACCAAAGAGTTACAGATCCTTATCTTGCATAACTGCTTGTTGCAAGGGATGCCATCTCATTGCCGGTCTCAAGGTGTCTACCCCCGTGTCATCATTGAAGGTAATTCTAAAATGGTGATCCGTCAACTATAATACTATATCGTAGATCAGTAGAAGATTCGCAGTCCCCTGCTAGAGTGTCTTAAGTTATTGGTCATGTCCTCTTTGTGTAGTTTGGGGCGGTTCAACGGACTGCCAACTGGGTTGCCCATAGAGTGGCACGTAAAGCTCTGTAGCTATCATCTTTAGAATTATCGCCCTTTGACTTTGTAGGATGACTTCATTTTTTTTTACAGGCAACCTGTGAATATTTTAATCAGAAGAAACGGTTACATCATCCAGTCGGAACTGGTCAATAAAGAAATTCCTGTAGAATACGCCTGCAGATAATTCATACCTCAGCGTACGTGGACGTCATGAGCTTGCAATAACTTCTCAATTAAAGTCGAACTGTCAATTTCAAGCTATAGCCTTGTGAAACCCAGCTGGTTCGCTAATTGGATGTCGAATTCTGTTGCCAAGGCTTTCGATCACCATCTCTACTCCAAAAGAGCCGTAAACTTTCTTGGTCGCCGCTGCTAGAAATCTCCCCTGGTGGTCTCGGTACACTGCTCCCCAGGCCAATCCCTTTATCAGCCAACATCCCTGCATCGGCTTTGTCCACCAATCCGCCTGCAAGTTGCCCATAGCTACATCTTCTGGGCCTTGGTTCTTCTGGTACTCTTCAAGAATGGATATCGCTCGCTACACTATCTCATCCTCAAGCCATTTAAGGCCGTTAAAGAATAGCACATTTCTCTCTTTCCACATTGCCCATAAAATCATTGCCCACCATTCCATCATGTCCGAGCTCTCATGCTTCAGAACCTCCGCAACCTAGTGCAGACAGGTCACTATGCGTTGCTTTGGATGTGTTTTGGGTAGGGCTGCAAATGAGCCAAACTACTCGCGATCAACTCGAAGGTTGAATCGGGAAAAACTCATTTGAAACTTGATTCGTTTACTGATGAGCCAAGTTTGAGCTTAGCTTTGTTCAGCTCGTGAAGCTCGCGAGCTAGCTCGACTCGATGGCTTGTTGAGCTCAACTCGTGAGTTGGCTCATTTAGAGCTAATGAGATGTCTCAACATTGTAGTTTGAGGGCCAACTTGATCACCGACTAATGGACTAATCGATCTAATTTGGACTTTCATAATTCATAGGATTGTTAAATTATATATCTCACATAATGTGAAGTTTAACATGTTGAACATATAAGAAAATATGCATTATTTTTAATTCCATAATGAAATTATGTACAAAATTGTTTCGATACTATGAATAACATGATTTGAACTAGTTAAAATTTATTAACTAAACAATATGACACCTACAAATTATAATATAAAATTAATTACTGTTGAACATTTGATTTTTTTTATCGTTACATCAATCATATGTACATTACACGACATACAAAATGAATGTATCAAATACGATCTAAGAATTTAGTAAACAAGTCTAGCTCGAACTTGACTCGGCTCGTTAATAAAAGGCTCGGGCTCGAGCTCAGCTCATTTGTTAACGAGTCAAGCTCAAACTGGGGTAAAACTTGGCTCGGCTTGACTCATTTGCAGCCCTAATTTTGGGAGATGTTTCTAACTATACTATATATATAATAATATTTTCACCCTAGCACATGGAAATTACTCTTTAGGCGAAAAAGCTAAAGGACAATGTTAAATTGGTAATGCAAGATATGGAATCAAGTGAATGTTAGAGGACTGGAATCGATATTTCACCAATCCACAGGAAAAGACAAGTCGAGTGTATTATTAACCTCTTTTATAATTCAGGAGCAGTCTTCTGGCCGAATAAGCTTTGCAAATTGCAAGCTCACGAAGGCCAGCCAGCCAGACAGCAGCATCACCATAAAGAAATTCCGCATCTTCCCACGGAACCCAACCCAACCCAAATCCAATTCTTAATTCAATTTAAAAAATTACCAACTTTCCCCCTCCCCAGTTTCATCGATCCTCCGGTACGTTCCTCGATTCTCAGATTTTCTTTTGTTTGTTCCTCTCTCAATTATTTGATTTCGCTTCTGGGTTCGTTTTAAAGAGGAAATTCGAAATTATAGTTTGAAATTATGGGGCTCTATCTAATTCGTTTGTTTCCCACGGAAAGTGCTGATGCGAGATGGGGATGTATGTGAATTTGGAGCTGAATTTTAGTATTATTGGAACAGAGTTGTAATTTTTCATTTGTACTGTTCGGTTCCCTCTTCCTCAGAGTTGAGATACGAACGACATCTAAAAGGGTTTCAGTGTTTGTTGGAGTAAAGCTTATATCTTGCCATGTGAAGCGGATTATGGTTGAATATACTTTGCAGGTTCAATTTTGTACAGATATCATTGTCGTTCAGGTTGTTTCTTTGTGGTAGAGTTCTGCTTTGGATGAAGGGTTATGAAACTTGATTCAAGGAGTCAGTGGTGATTGTAAGTGTATCGTTGCTGATATTGATCCCTACTTACAGTGGTTTCCTACTCTTTGCAGGAGAATCAAAAGTTGGGTGTAGAAGTTTACATAGAGGACTTGAGCTTGGAACGGAGAGAATTATAGTTACAGGCTATGTATAGGGGTGTGCCTACGACAACGACCACACGAGGTGGATCACCCACAGGCAGTGGGGATTCTGTCGTGACTTTAGATCAAGTCCCAAAATGGAGCGATGTGGAGAGTAGGTCTACATTTGGCTATGAGAATGAAGATTCTTCAAATCCATTCTTCCCTGATCCTTTGACGTCGTCACCTGATGGGGATAACAGTGGGAATGGAATGGTGGCCAGATTCCCTGTTGATCATGAAATTAACTCAAAGATACATCTGTGGAGAGGAAACCCATGGAATCTCGAGGTTGATGCTGTAGTGAATTCTACAAATGAGGTGAGTTAATACTAATTTTGGTAATATTTGAGCAGAATTTGTGGTCGTGTTTTTAAGCCATGGGAATAGTTGCTTTGATCCATAGCTTCGGAAGTGAAATTAGGATTGTGCAAGCTACTAGTTAACCTCTTCCTGCATTGATGATTACAGAATCTTGATGAAGCCCATAGTAGTCCCGGTCTGCATGCTGCAGCTGGACCTGGTCTTGCAGAAGAATGTGCGGCGCTGGTATATTCTCAATTGATTATTATGTGCATGGCCGTGTGTGCGATACAGAAACCTGAATTATGTGATTTGAAGGGTGTGTTTCGATGATTTGTGGCAATTTTGCTATGTTTTTGTATTTGATAAGCAAGCACAGCTCTGCTACCTGGGTTTGATAAGCTTTTCTTGAGAACGAGCAAGTTGCGCTGATAGTTTATGAGGCTTGTGAAGATAGCAAGTCCGATAAGTAGTTCAATGTGTTTGATGTTAAAACTTTGGGAATGCTGACAGGGTGGATGCAGGACAGGAATGGCAAAAGTTACTTATGCATATGATCTTCCTGCTAGGTTTGTACATGTTCATCACACTACTGAGATTCACCCGGCTATCCTTATTTTGGTTTAATTATTTCTTCCTTGATGTGCAGGAGAGTTATACATACTGTTGGTCCGAAGTATGCTGTGAAATATCACACTGCTGCAGAGAATGCGTTGAGTCACTGTTATATGGCTTGTCTTGAGTTACTTTTTGATAATGGGCTTCAAAGGTCATTCGCTGCTACTTTTTCTTTGTCATTTTTTGTGTAGGGTGTGAAGCATTGGACTAACTTCTGCTTGTGTTTTTATCAATGCAGTATTGCTATGGGTTGTATATATACAGAAGCTAAAAACTATCCTCGTGAACCTGCTGCACATGTTGCTATAAGTAAGAACTCTTCCCCAATGTCATTATCGTCTAATCAGTTCTTTTTTGCTTCAATGCACTGGCAATGCACCTTCATCTGAAATAGTATGCACAGGGTGGACAGTAGATAGAACTGACCTGTTTTATTAATTATTTAATCTGTTGCTCTCCTGGATACTATTGATACTTTTTACTACTACCCAACTGGGTCTCTTTCTTTCGTTTCAGGAACTGTCCGGCGTTTTCTCGAGAAGCAAAAGGATAAATTAACAGCAGTCGTGTTTTGTACCACCACCTCAACTGATACTGAAATATATAAAAGGTATATCAGCACTGGGATTCTCTTTATTGCTTTAGAATTGGCAAGTTTATGAATTTTCACACATGCGTATTGTAGACTGCTGCCACTCTACTTTCCTCGAGATAAACACGAGGAGGAGGTGGCCATGTCAAAGCTTCCTGCCGATGTTGGGGATGAGAACGGTGATACAGTAATAGATGAGCGTAAAATCAGAATAAAGCCTTTGCCCAAGAAAAATATTCCGAATCCTCCTGAAACTCCGGAAGATCTACCTGTTAGTGAAGTCGGTTTGGTGAGGAGGTCAGTTATTGTCAATTCAATCATGCATGTGACCTTATTTGTGTTTCTTCGTTGCTTTCACCTGCTTGTTCAGGTTCTTAATTCGTTGATTTGTGTGATAGAGAATGGACAATCTTTAGACCAAACATTTTGAACTCTTGAGTAGATGCTCTATATTAGGTCTGAATTGTGAAGTACACAATTCAGATCTATGGATAAAGTGTTTTTGGTTGAGTTTTACAAAAAGTTGCGTAGATGGGTATGCGATATTTCTGGTAAAAAAAAATTAAATGACGGGATGGTAGATAGGTTGTTTAAGAATATATTTTAAGCTCAAAAGGGCAAAACTGAAATATATTTTATAATTGAGCTAGCTTCTAGATTGAAATTATTTATGGTATTTAGGGTGAATGGTTTTTGAAAAAGTGTGCTTGTTTTAGCTTCTCGGTCAACTTTTTTTTTTTATGTTAATTAGTTTAGCCAAAAACAAATACGCCTTATATGTGCCATAACTTGGCTACTTGTGCTTATTTCCTGTACTTAGGCAAGGCGCCTAGAACATAGACAGACATCGGACACCCAGATGCAAGAGCATTACATAAACTAAGGGCGGATTAGTGATTTGCCCATTTGAATTATTTAATGTCTGTGATTCTCCATCCCAGATGTCCTTAATGCTGTGTTTCAACTTTGCAGAAACTCTACCTATTTGGATTCTTATTTAGATCCAGCATTCATGTCCTTAATAAAGGATCCGGATCAGAGACGAAGGGAGCAGTGGGAAAAAACTGCTCAAGCGCAAAGTGGATTTAACTGTGCCAAGATGCTTGGTTTTGGCGATCTTGGTGGTCCTCCATTGTCGGCTGCAGAAGAATATTCTTTGCATTCTCGATATCTTGCTAAAGCTAATTCTCTTAATCTCTCTGAAATTGCAGAGATGAAAATTGTGTAAGCATTTGGTCTGCTTGCTTGTATATGCAACTTCTTACCACCTGTCTGGTTGTTTGTTTATTGATTATTTGCTGTAAAATTTGGAGGTGAGATGCTCTAATTTCTGCTGCGTCGTTTTAATTATTGGTAACCATGTGTTACTGGTTTGTGAAATTGGTAGTTGCTGGGTTCTAAGCGAGAAAGTTCACATTGTTTGAGCCTTTGCTTCACACATCTGAATACCGCGTATCTCTTTAAGTATCTTAGCTATTTTGTTTAGAATTCCTTTTCACAACTTCTTTTCACACAGGTCAGTTACTTTTCTGTTGCAGATACCGGGGTGGAGTGGACAGTGAAGGCCGTCCAGTAATGGTTGTTGTCGGAGCACACTTTTTGCTGAGATGCCTTGATCTCGAGAGATTTGTGCTTCATGTTATCAAGGTAATGAATCAGATATTCTCCTCCATCGGGTTTTCCATCTCAATTCATCTTCTGCAGATGTAAATGAGACAAAAAAAAAGAAAATCTGGAACTTGGTGAATATTTCAGGAATTTGAGCCAGTTATCCAGAAGCCATTTTCCATTGTCTATTTCCATTCTGCAGCATCTCTACAGATGTAAGTCACATGCACACCTTTGCTAAACGCGGTTTTTCATTTAACTTGATGTTCACCTTTGCTTGGCTTTAGTTGTTATTCCCCACCCACACAGCCCATTTCCGTCATTTGAATACCCAATTCTTTTCCATGAACATGCTAAATTATCATTTCGGTAAATAATACTGTAGCCAATGAGTAACCATACAGGCAACCAGACTTGGGGTTTATGAGAAGATTGCAGCAGATACTTGGTCGAAAACACGAGAGGAACCTCCATGTATGTCTCCCTTTCCTATTGTTCCAAGCAAACTAGTGTTTATTATGTTCTTCGACTTGATGTGTTATTGTTTGTTTCTATGTAGGAAATCTATGTTCTTCATCCTACATTGCATCTAAAAGCAGTAGTTTTGGCCATGCAAATTATGGTCGATAATGTGGTACGTCAGTTTTACTCTCTTCCCAGAACGTGATGCTGGTATCCCAAAGTTGCTTTTTGTTAACTTCATTCTGCAACTGATGATTCGCTAGACGTGGAAGAAAGTGGTATATGTGGATAGGCTTCTACAACTATTCAAATACGTCCCTCGAGAGCAGTTGACCATCCCCGACTTCGTCTTCCAGTTGAGACTCCCTCTTTATCTTGAACAAATCCTCAACCATTTAATCACAAACCTTCTTCCAAGTGAGTAATCTAAACCCCTTTGTTGCAGGCATGACTTGGAAGTGAACGGAGGGAAGGGTCTAATTGTAGATCCAAGAACGAAGTATGTGTATCAACGACCGTCTTAGGCATCTCTGGAGTTACTATTCCATCTCAACCTGACGAAATTGACTCCCGAAAACTGCCGTCAGATGATTGCTCCTTCTAGCCTGCTTGGCGAGCATCTCATTTCGTGTACAAAGTGTATCTGAATTTTTTTTTTAACTGGTTTTCTGTGCTGGGCTTCTTCCTGGATTTGTTGTTATGAAATCATGGCAAGAGTAGCTTTAGTCTCTCAATTGTTTTATTCTATATCATATGGGGAAGAGATGGTGATTTTGTTTATGAAGTAAAGCAGAATAACAATGTTTAGTGTTCCTTTTTTGTATCATGATGGATTTTTCTCATAAATGAAAATGTGGTTTAAACTGTAAGAACGGCTTTCCATTATGTTTGGTATTTGAGTAAGTTTTTTTTTTTTGTTTCAAAAGACGAAGTTGAAGTTGGGCAAACACCTATATAAGCTACTTTTTTAAAAAAATAGTCCAAAAGTGTTTTACAATACAAGCAAAAAAAGTTGTTAATATTAAACTTATCATGGTTTAATGTTCTTTAGGAAATATAAATTTCTTTTCATTTACATTTTATATATAGAAAATAAATTTCAAAAATATTATTTAAAATACAAGAGATCAAACTTTATCCATTTAGAATTTTATTTTTTGAATTTTGTTCATATTTTTATGTTAGAAATTCATTTTGAGAACGATATTGATTCGCTTATTTGCAAGATCTTGTTAGGTAGTGTAAAAAAACCAGAATAATCACCAGCTCGATGGCAAACATGTGACCATTAAGCAACTTCAATTTTATGTCAAATAGCTAAGGCAACAGACTATGCTTGTCTTTTTGAATGAGCGTACAATATTTGAAGTAGGAAGTGAACGACAACGCCGACTCATTTGTTGGAAGTCACTACAAGAAGCTTGAGGGGTCTTTTTTTTATATGAAAAATAGAACATTATAACCAAATAGGATACATTATATTTTTTTAGCTTGAGGTGCCTAAACACAGACGGAATGGTTTTAGAAATCAATGCCTCCTTGCTTTATATCAAGAAGTTCATATAGAGTATGTTTCTAGAGAGACAAACTTTGAAGTAGATTACTTAGCGTTGAGCCGTTGAGTCATTCTTTACCACTCAGAGCTCATGTCATAGTGCACCTTGTTATTCATTAAACTCATGGATGTACTTTGATTTTTAGGCCATCTCCAGTAGATATAGTGCCAAAGTCTAGTTCTTGTCTCTCTCTAATAAGCACCGAAAAGTATAGGTGGCTATACGGTTTGTTCTGGTTAAATTGGACCAAATTTATCCGGTCTTAGTCCAGTCTTTTTGGGAATGTAAGGACCAAAGATTGGATTGGATACAGTCCGGCATTGATCCGGTCCGGTCCCAATTTGATCCTGATTTTAGATTGAGTTTGTGGGGATTTGAGTGTTGGAGTCTCTTATCCGGTCATTTTACCTCAAATCTAAGCACGAATATGAGATTGGATTGTTTGCTATCCGGTCCCAGTCTGATCCCGGTCCGGGTTATACGATCCGGATTCGGGTAAAACCAAACAGTCCGAACCAAATAGCCAGCCCTAATGAAAAGTGCCAAAATGTTAAAAAAAAGGTTTTGGGGCTATTTCTAGCTCGATACAGGAAAAGATGTAAAAATCGATGACCCCATTTTTTTCTCGCCAAACGCGCCGGAGAACGCGTGTGCGCCGCACACGGCCCACTGCTTCGACTTCTTTCCCCATTTGTCCTACACATACTGCTTCCCGCCTGCTCTCTTACATTTTACCAAGGTTGTCAACCCGCGGGTTGACGGTCGACTCATTTTGACTCTGACCTAGTGAGAAAAACGGGTCGCATGCACCCGCCGGGTCGACCGCTACAAGGTACCGGGTTGGAGGTCAAATTGTGTCATTTTTTTCTTTGGTTTGCGAAATGTGCCTATTTTCCAATTTTTCTTTTCGCCTAACTCAATCTTTGGAATTCTAAGTTGAACATTTGAATATTGATGTTATATAAGTGTGTGTGAATTTTAACTATATGTTGGATCTAAGTACGATATGTTATTTTGGTGTAATATTATATGTTATAACTCATATGTTAGATAAGATTTGATATAATTTATGAGGATAAGTACAATATAATGACTCTTTCCATATTTGTGGACCAAACCGGGCTAAAATGGTTGACCCATTAACCCTTAACCCACTAACTCGATCGGTCTGGGTCAACCCGTCGGTTGACAACCTTGCATTTTGCCCAAAATTAATGCTTCATAAACTAACCTAATCAATTTCCATATACTAATTAAGTGCTCTTGTAGTTAAAGCGGACAAATTGGATGAAGCTAATCTATTATCTTAACTGATGATCTCATATTTAATGACGAATTTTCCAAATTAAAGAATATTACATTGAAATGTTCGGCTTAATTAATTACTAGCTTTGACCTCTGCCCTTTGGACAGGTAAAATTAAAAAAAAAATTATGTAAAAAATATCAAATAGAGTGTTTAAAAGTTTTTACTCCCTTCCAAAATTTAGCTCCCTAAGACACCCCAGAAAGAGAGTGGAGAACATGCATCTCAATTTTCAGTTGAAAGGAACAGTGGAAGGTACATCCATCTTAATGACGCAAGAGAAAAATTTTGTGGGCGTGTCACGTTGCCTTATAGCTTAAACACAGGTAATCTATGAGAAAAAACTGCATACAATGCTTAATCATATCACCTAGAGTTAGGGCTACTTAACGTCCGAGCTAGCGAGTGAAAATCCAGCTGTAGGGAATTAGAAATCTCGAGGGAACAAAATTGAGTTCTAAATGAAAATGTCGCAATAGAAATTTGTTGAATGATGTGAATGAGCGAGATGATGTTCATGAGAAAAAATCTCGAGAGAATGGAAATGTTCTATAGTTATGGAGATAGACAAAATTTTGTAGAAAGTTTACGTTAAAATGAAATAAACTCAAAACTCATAATCATTTTTATAGAAATATTGAATTGCGTTAAAACACATATCTATTACAATAATTAAAAGAAAAAATATTATTATTTGAATAAGTAAATAATTATAATTACTAAAAAAGATATTACGGTTAAGCAGGTTAACTAATCATCATAAATAATAATAAATTATGCAACAATTTATCTCTCCTCTTCCAAGAAGCCTGTGGGAGAAGAGGGGAGGAGTTACGGTGATTACTATAAAAGTAGTAATCACTGTGGTTACTAAGGATAAATTGGGCATTAAAAATAAATTATATTAATTAATTTTTTAATAAATTAGATTTTAAGTAATTACAAAAATCTATTAATTACAATTCTCTCTCTTTCTCTCACTTCCGTAATCTCCAGCCAGATCTTCTTTCCATATTTTTCTCAATCTTTCTGCAAAAAAATAAAAACACGAAATCGCTACCAATCCATTAGACAACCACTACCACTTTGAAAAACATAAATACCATTGCAGAAATAAATCTATACCATTACACGAAAACTACCAATATAAAGAATTTATGCCATTACAAAAGTCAAACAAATACCAAAACAACCAATACCACTACTACTATAAAACCAAAACAATACCATTGCACAAATAAAGTAATACCATTATGCTAAAACTACCAATACAAACAATCTATACCATTACAAGAGTCAACCAAATACCCAAATCAATCAATATAACTACTAGTGTGAAATCAAAACAATACCATTGCAGAAATAAATCAATATCATTATGAAAAACAAACTATACCATTTCATAAAACAAAGCAATGAACTAATACCAAAACAAAAAAAATTACCAGATCTAGGTTTTAATGTCTACTATAATTATGGTTGTATTTGTATATAATTCTTAGGGCTGCTGGGACATGGTTCCAATATGGATGCTACTATACCCACCAAAATCATATATGGGTATGTATGTTGTGATGGAGAGAGAGCAGCGGGAGGTATATGGAGACTGGAGAGAGAGCAGCGGGAGGGCACCGACATAAAGGGGAGGGTGGCCGCTGCGTGGCCGGCACGGAGTCATCGTCGGGGTTGCGGCCGGCGCCTGGCGGGATTAGTGCGACAAGAGTGATGGAGGTGACCGTGTTGGGTTTGGTTGGAGGAAGGATAGAATTAGGATTTGGGTAGATTATATAGAATAATCAGGTGTGGTCACTTATTCATTTCCAAAATTGTCCTAAAAGAATCTTGACTGTAAGATTAAAAAAGAAGGAAAAATAATTAATCAAATCTACAAAACACTATAAGGCAATGTCTACATACTGCTTTTGCCACGTCAGTCCCTCCTGAATCCGCCGTACAATTCGGAAGGTCATTACCGTAAATTCACTAACCTTTCTCTTTTGCGCATTTTCTGTCTTCCAATTTCCCACCGCAAATCGACCCCTATCTCTCTCTCTCTCTCGCCGTCCCTGCACATTCCCTCTTCCAAGCCCTACCGAAAATCAAAGTCTTTACCCGCTATCCGAACATAGTAATTGAAGACCTCTCACTCAATTGAAGACTGTTCATTCTCTCAGCATCGTCGTCTCTGTATTTCTTGCTCTGGGCCGCAGTCTTTTGTTGCCAATCTGCTTTGACGTCGACTCTGTGTCTCCCACATGCTCCGAATATGTCGCTATTTCCGTCCTTCGCGCTCTGTGGTCTCTCTCCAGCGACAAAGAATTCCAACCCATCTCAAATAACACGTCTCTCTTGCTCTCACTGAGCAGAGTTGAGAAACCTCACATAGCTGCCTAATCAAAGTTATATCTCCTTTCCAGTAAGTTCCCTCATATTGGTTTCTTGTATTTTGGCTTCTCGGAATTTGATGGGATTTTCGGGCCGCTTTTCTTCCATGTAATTTTCCTTTTCTAATGAGTGTTCAATTCAATTGGTAACATTACGCGTAGCTGGTTTTGTTCTAAAGTGGCGTACTGATTTTCTATGCTTTGGACGGAATTTAGACCCAATTTTTGGATTGGGCTCGGAGCCACAGTTTGTTGAAGAATAAATTTCCCTGACTGATTTGTTAGCTTTGTTGCTGGGATTGTTCTTGGTGATCGATGCAGTAATGCCCGCAAGCGTTATCGCGGTGATACTTCTACTAGCCAGAATAAAATGTGGCATTTATTTCCAACACTCTCAGTCGATGTAATATTCTCATTCTGTATATCCCTTTGATGTTGTGTTAAGATTGTACGAAATATATGCAGGCACAACATTTTCAATTGCAAAAGCAAAGTAAGCTGATAACTTTATTTTGTTTTCCTGCAGTATGCAATTTTGTTGTTTCAATGTAATAGGAATCACAATATTAGTTAATATGGAGGAATAGGGATGCAGAATCATGACATTTTCAGTTTGACTCCATGTTGACTTTGGGTACAGAGTGAAACTCCATTTGAAAGTCTATTCTGGTGAAGCATATTTTGCAATTTGGTGTATGAAGGCCTGTGTTTCTTTGCGGTAATGGCTGATGTATTTTCAAAGTAAATCTGAGGAAGAAAGAACCCATTCTACTACAAATCCAGCAGGTAGTGAACATGAGATTGAGATTACATGTTAAACTTACTCAATTTAACTTCTTAAACTCTCCAACTGAGTATTCTGTGGTTAATGTGGAGCATGATCTACTTGGGGTAAGTGATGAATATATCAGCATGCAGCAGCACATCCATTCATACGGTAGAAGAGGGTACCATATTGATCTCCATCATTTCAATTTATCTTATTGTTGTAATTTGATTTCAGCAATTGAGTGAGACAACAAGTCAACTCCACGCGAGTGCAACTCCTATCTTGGAGGAAGCCAGCAAGACTAAGCCAAATCCTGAGGTTCTTGGAGAGACAACTTTTACAGGGCAGAAAAGAAAACAAGGAGGATGCATGACTGTGACCCCAAGGAAGTGTCGTAGTATTGTTGGGAAATTTGTGCAGTGGAGGGCCACGTTGTGATTCTTATTTTAAGTATTATGTTTTCCATAATAGTATGTTTGTGAATGAGCAGCCGTTTAGAAGCTTAGCTGTTGTCATTAGTTTGTTGTCTTAAAGCAGAATGAATCTTAGGATTGCTACTTATACATTTCAGTTCTCTACAGAGCTTTATCAGTAGAGTATTTTTACTAAGATGGCATTGTGTAAAACTTTATTGGTAGGGTAAAGGGCCCCAAAAAAACATGATAATCAAACCTCTCTGCTAAATCATGATTCATGATAGAGATAAAAAGGGTCAATTAGTAGGAAGCTTTCTCAGCTTTTTATCCGCAAGTGCAAGATGCCCTTTAATCTGCACTAACTCTACACAGTTTGGTTTTTTTGTTTCAAACCTTTGGTTTATCAGTTAGAAGCCCTCTAACCTAGCCTAACTCTTCAGTACGGTATTTTTCAAGATGCATCACGTAGAAAACTTTATCAATAGGATGTTTTTAATATGAGGTGTATTGGGAAATAAAAGCAACGTTCTATACCATAGAATTTACTTGAAACAAGTTTTGTGAGTGGCTTCCTGGGGAATCCCCCAACAAAATCTACTCCATGTTTGGAAAGTGAAGTGGGATAGCATCCAAAGATGCTACTTCTAAAGGGCTATCAAGCATCCAACGATTGTACTTGGTGAGTTTATCCTAATCAGGTGGCTGCTATTTCCTGTTTCTTTTTATATTGCAGTTTGTTTAGTTTAATGGTTTTTTCTTCATACAATGTAATTATGCATCATGTTAAGCATAACTGTATACGATCATGTGGATAACAGGAAATGGTGCCGGTTGGTGGGTTCCCTTTAATTTGTAAGTTTTTTTTTACTGAACGTTAATTTAAAAGTTCAAAAGCCTTTCAAGGATTTCTCATGTCATTCTTAATTACTTATATATTATCTCTAATATCTAATCAGTACTTAATTACTACATCAAATGTTATCTTCCGATCTCAATCATAAGATCATACGAGTCATAAGATTGTAAGATTCGTTACAATTCATTATACGAGTAAAACGTAGTACACGCTGAAGTTTTATACTATACCGGCCAAAGGGCCGGGCCCAATGCTAGTGGTATATAAAGAGATTGTCACCGTGATTACCAAAAAACAAGTAATCACCCTAACTCATTCCGGGAGAAAAATTCTCAAGTGAGAGAAGCAAATAGTAGACAGTTAGCCAACGAAGAAGAGAAAAAAAATGAAAAAAAAAAATAATAGAGATCAAAGAAACTGCCGGCAATAAGAAAATATTAAAAAATTAATAAAAATTTAGCATTCACCGAAACTCGCGGAGAAGTCGTGAAGGCTGACATGGTGGGATCCGTTTTCCAAACTGCTTTAATATTTTTAAAGAAGATCAATATATATAACCAATATACAAACTCCTTAATCACTAAACAACATAAATAATCACAAAAAGAAAAAATTTGAAACTTTCCCATTCTAGTACAGTAGCACTCCTTGTTGGAGCAAAGCCCACTTTTGAATAGGGGTGCTTAAATGGTTACTATGGTTATAACCAAACCAAATAAGGTTAAATTCCATTAACCATGGAATACAATATTATAACCAAACCGTCTAAACTAATACAACAACCAAATTAACCAAATTAAAGTTTAATCGGTTTGGTTAATTGGTTAACCAGATTAACTAATATAAAATCACACTATTATTGACGATGAACATGAACATGACCACTTGGAGATGGGTGGAACTGATGGATGGTAGAGAACCCAATTCACTTCTGTAAATGTGCTTTGGGAGCATATCCGCCATTTCAAATGCTCAGCTGTGCCTGTGTGAGATAGCTGATGCCCTATAATTTCTTCCTCCCTCAAATAATTAATTTTTATTAATAATTAATATGATAAATGAGCAAGAAAAATGATGAGGTGGAAAAATAAATTTATTTTAATTCCCACGTCATATAGTTAACGGTCAAATTTTATAGTTGACTGCAGTGCAGCCAAAATCGTGCATTAAAACGTAAAAACTTACTTTTTTACGTATCCAGGACACCAAAACGTTTCAGTTTCTACCTAAAGTCGCTTAGTCACAAAAACCAGTAAAAACATGGGTAAAATCGATAAAATCTCTTAAAATTGGTAAAATCGCGATTCTGAAGCGTTTTTATATGATTTTGATCATCTCATAAAAATGTGCTAATTGGCCCAAAATGATGTAATTTTGGAGACATATCAACAAAAAATAAAAAAAAAGGAAAACATGATTTATCACTCATTCTACAACTAGTGTCGAAATAGGGGCTTCATATTAGGTTGAAAAGACACATAATGGTATTCTCAACAGCCGCTGACCTTCTATCAGTCTTCTCCCTTAATCTTCACATGTGGCTCTTACCTGAGTTACGATGAAAGTTTATGGGTAATTGATCGTATGTAATTATGTAAACTCAAACCAGCTTATGAGAATTTGGATTCTCAAGCTCGTTTACGGGTTACGATCTACGTTTATGAGCTTATTATTAAGATGCTATGAGTTTTCTCTACTTATGAGTCAACGCAAATTAGTTTATGTATTAGATATTACATTTTAATTATGAATTTCATGTAGTTATCCACTTATCTTAAAATCTACACACTCACATTTTACATACTATATGTTGTACTTAACATATTTTAGCTATTTTAGAGGGTGCATCAAAAACTAATGATTTTACGCTTTGATTCTACGTTTTACGATTTTACCCATTTTCCGCTTCTAGGTAGAATCACGCTTTTAACTGCATTGGTTGACTGTCACGTATGAAAAACTTAACGGAGTGTAATGGTCGGTGGCTAACGGTGAAACGATTCGTTAAGTTAATGGCTAATAAAAAAGAAAAGTAATTCGAGTGATAAACATGAAAGATTTGTAGAATTTGAGTGACCAAACGTGTAATTTAGCCTTATTAATACACACAAGGTTAAGACACCGTTAAGCGTCCACTTGTTAACATATCGTTGGGCGACACAACGGTTAATAATAGACCCGTATGCACAGAATCGAAATCCAAGTTCCATTTCCCGGCTCAGGTAATATCTCTGTTTTTCTAATCCCTCCCAAAATTTTGCGAAGCAGACCAAGGCAACGATTCTCTTGATTACGACCGGCGCTTATCATCTACCCTCCGGCAGCTTCCCGGTGAGTTCTTCCGGTTTGACGAACGAAAGTAATTTAGCGTTATCTTTGTTCGCAGCCTTTGTCCAATAAAGGGACTGAACTTGTATCGCGATTGAGTTGGCAGTGTTTGGTTCTCAAGAAATTCTTTGATGTTTATCGCAATTGTTTCAGTAAGCTAGAGGTAGAAAATGAAAGGAATTTCCAACTCTCGTCTGAGTTTTCCATGTGTTTGGTTGATTGAGAAGCTTCATAATTCCTCCCATTTTCGGTTGCTGGGTAAGCCAGGTATGCTTCGAGGGCAAGGTCTGTCATTGAGTACTCTAACAACGTACGGTAACTGTGGGATTGCTGCATCAATTCCATCTTGGAGGAGACAATTAAGCGTAGTATGGAAGACCCATATGGATTCTGGAACTCGTTCCAACTGGCCTTTGAGCTGGGATGTTCAAGGCTTGGTCTCTGTGGGTAACCCCAATGTATTGGGGAGAAGGAGCTTGAGAGTTGAAGCTGGATGGCTTTTCGGTAAGAGTACCGGGAACGAAGAAGACTCTGGTGCAAGCATTGAGGGTAGTGAGAGTGCGAATGAAGACATTCTGATTTTCTTTTTCCAGCTCGATCTGGCAACTCGTGTCCAGGTTTGGCTGAGTCTTTTTCGTTATTTTATATAGGGGGCTTTCAACTTTGACTTTCATTTGATCGCTATGTTAGATTTCATGGTTTTGGTTGTACGTGGTGGATTTTTGCAGTGTGCTCTGAATATGGAACAGTATGACATTGCAAATCAGCTGAGGAACAAGCTTACTGAGGTCGGTTCTAGTTTAATGACTGTCCTGGTGCTGTTTTGTTCTTTTCAAGTTGATTTGGCATGTCTTAAGATTATGCTAATCACTGTGCCTGTATTTGGAAGTCAATGTTCATTTGCATTGACTAGATGGCCAGAGTTCTATCTTGAATCCTAGCAGGTTGCTGAATAGTTTTCCCTTTTTTCAAAAGGTTGAAGAAGAGATTATGAAGCAGAAGGAAACTAAAAGAGGTTCATCCTCAAAGAGTGAAGCTCAAGAGAAAGCTATAAATATAATAAGACTACGGTGAGGGCTATAAATGCAAACCCTCCTTTGATACTTCTGCTCTTAAGCCATGGTAGCTCAACTTAATGCTGCTTGTTTCCTGCATTGCTTCATTTCTTGCAGAGCAGACCTACAGAACGCAATTGAGAAGGAAGATTATGCTTTGGCAGCTGAGTTTCGGGATCGGATTTCTAAACTGGAAAAGGATTCTCTGGCTGTATCTGCAGAAGCTCTGGCATATGCAAATGTGGAATATGGATTTCGTTTAGGGCAGAAAGTGAGGCACAAAATCTTTGGTATTATAAGCTTTTCTTTCTCAGCATTTTCTTAAGGTCTCCTTTTGGTGTCAGCTATTTTCAGAATTTTCTACATACAATAAATGTGAACTCCCTTCTTAATCCATAGAGGAGCCTTGAGGATATTCATCACAAATCATTTGTACATTCAGTTTCTGGATTTTCTCAGGACGTTGACTACAACACCCGTAACAGAACTATCATCATGTTAAAAATATACTTGTCTTATCATGCCCTCCCTACTAAATCTGCAGGTTATAGAGGTGTGATTTGTGGGATGGATCCTGTTTGCTGTGAATCAAGTTCATGGATGGAAGCTGCACAGATTCAGAAGATGGATCGAGGTCCTAATCAGCCCTTTTACCAGGTTTTGCTTTCTGTTGCTGCTTTGTTCCAATTGCCGTTAACAATGGGAATACATGCATTTCACAGCTAATTTTTGAGCATTTCATCACAGCTTTTGGTCGATGTGCAAGCAGATCCAAATTTACTAGTGACATATGGTAATCAAATTTGAAAATATCTTATAGTTAGTATGAAATCTCGTGATAATTGATGGCTGGTATTATTTTACTCTTGCTGCAGTTGCTGAGGACAATTTGGAAGCTCCAGAGAAACCTGACTTGGTGAGTTGGAAACTGTTCGGTGGAAAACATGAAATAAAGCCCCCTTTTTAAGCTGTGACTTCAAATTTGCTATGCTTTTTACACTAATGGTGCAGGCAAGGTTTGACCATCCCTATACATCCTTCTTATTCTATGGAGTGGATACAGCAGGAGACTTCATCCCCATCAAACAACTGCGCGAGAAATTCAATCGCCCACGCCATGAATTGCCAATGGACCCACCAGATGAGAACTCTGGAGGTGGTAAACCCTAAATGGTGTTAAAAGCTGCTGATTTCTGCTTCCGGTGAGATTTGGGTCCGTATGTACTTATAAAGGGTTTCGGTTATTATGCTGCCCCTGGGGAGGCTGTAAACAGGGTTTGACACTGTCAGATCACCCTCCTCATGTGAGTTCAGCCATTGGATGGATGCAGGTGGTATTATTTACAAACTTGCCACCGCGTCAATCCAACAATCTGAGGTGTTAGCATATATATGTTAAAAGGGGAGGTGAATGAAGTGTCATGGCATTCTGATCTTTGAAACTTTTTTTTTGTGTTTCCAGGTACTTGGATGGGCCTCTAATTGTATGTTGTGGACTGCAGATTCTATCCAGTTAGCAGCATCTACGTTCGTACATAACTCTTGTAGATTAATGCAGTAACTGTTTTTATTACCCTCTCCTGAATGATTTCACTTCGTTCTATAAACGCTTGAAAGATACCGATGTATCAATCCATGGGTGACTTTCTCAGCTCCACCTTCAGGTAACGTCAACCGTTCCTGAGTTCATCATCAGGATTCATAACTTTGAAATGGTCCAGCCCTAAGTACTGATGATGACAGCAGATAGACTTTTGTTATTGTAATGGTCTGAATAGTTATGGGAAATGTGACGCACGGACATCTGTTGTTTCCATTAATGTTAACTGTTGAAGTCAGGTGATGAGACCCTAATAGTGGAAGAACAGTACTATAATTCTATACTAGTTAGGGCAGTAAGTTTGCTGAGACAGGTGGGTGATTGGTGACGGAGAAAAAACAAAATATCAAATCGATGAAGATAGCTTGGGCAATCTTCATACATAAGACAACAAATCGGAGGGACAAACTATTTGCTTTTAGTTTATGGACCAATGTGACATACATAAGATACTATGTGGAGGCGTTTGGGCTATGGCAATTACCTTTTAATTTTGGTCTACTATTAGGAAATCCGTACTATCAAGAAATGAACTATTTTTTATGTTAATATTGACTGGGTTTGATCGTCAATATTTATCAGAAAATTCAATCAATGTCGACGTGGCATTTTATATGGAATTTTAAATATTAATATTTATTTATATTTTCATCTATATTATTAAAATAAAAAATAAAATGTTACCAAAATTAGCAAGTAGACCATCGTTTGGTCAAGCGTTATCAACAACGGTTAACAAAATTGTCAGGACATAAATGACACATAACTATCATACATTGGGAGATAAATGGAATATTGAATAGTTCGGGACACAAATGACACTTTCTTTATAGTTCGGGTTTTCTAGTGGTATTAGCCATTTAATTTTCAAGAAGGAAAATGTTTTTCACAAACCAAAGGTAGAAGAGTTTCTACAATAGAATCACGATCAGTGAGGCGCCGTTTCAACCTACAAATCTTACCTCCGAACCGCAGTTCAGTGCCACCTTCCATTCCTGCAGGATTCATGCTGGTTCACTTTGACGGTGCCACAAAAGAATCATTAGGTGGTGCAATTGTTTGCAGGCTTCTTAGACCAACGGGGGATTTCTTTCGCTTATGGTTGTTTCTTTGCGGAAACTTCTAAACCTTTCCTCTTGGAGTTAATGATGCTTCGAGACGCCATGCGCTGGTGTCTTTCTCATTCCATAACTAATGTATTATTCTGCGGTGATTCGCAGGTCGTGATCCGGATGGTCTCAGCGAATGACTCGTCTCACGCTTTGGGGGTGCCATTCTGAAAGAGGTTCAGGAGTTGCAAACATCTCTCGCGCATGTATCGTTTCACTTTGCTCTCCGTAGGTATAACTGGGTTGCTCATACAGTGGCAAAAAAAGCCCTTTCATCAATGGTTTAGCAACTGGTTGACCATCGTTTTGCACTTTTTTCTTTATACTGACCTTTCATGGTCTTGTATATTCTCGTATCTTGCTATTTCTTCCAAAATATCTTTGAAAAAAAAAAAATCTTACAGAAGACACACGGATGAGGATATATCAACTACTACTAGCAGCTCCGCGAACACCTGAGATGGCCTATAAGATTGCTGAACGGTTTGGCACATTGATCTGGGTTGAACCTAGAGAAAATAAAAGCAAGGAATGACCAAGTGAGACTAGAAAAAACAGCAGACAAAGACAGAGGACGATACCCTCTCAAGGAAGACATCAGAAACTATGCTACAAGTTCCAGATAATGAAAACATGGTCTTCATAATAGGAAGAATTGACACAAAATTGGACCAGAAAAATAAATCTGGAGGCTGGCAAATACATAAACAAATAATAGGCAAAAAAAAAAAAAAACCGAATGTATCACAAGTGCAGCTCACGCCACAAAAGCAAAGTTTTGGAGGGGCAAAGGATTTGGTTAATCGAGAACCGAGTGGAAGGTGGGCAATGGCACAATTGTACGTGGGTATCGGGCCGTGCCGCCCACGGGCTAGCACGGCACGAGCACGGGCACGAAATAAATGCGCCAGTCCGGCACGAGCATGGATAATTTATGGGCCGTGTCGGGCCTAAACTTCATTGGCACGGGCACGGCACGGTATATAAGTGGGCCGTGTCGGGCCTAATATTTTCGAGACTTTATTGAGTAAAAGAACGGACATGGTACCAAAATAATATTTATTTGATAGACAATAAATATGAAAAGAATTATAGGTTCAATATTACAAAACACAAGTAGAAAAATAATTATTTGTTGTTGTTAGAAGTGTCATAAAGATATATACGTAATTACTAACATAAGTAAAAATGGACAAAGAATTAAACAAAGCCAAATCACATTCGCTGTACTTTCAATTTTCTTTTCCCGCTTATTTGTTACTTTTCTCAAACATTATCGGTTAATTTACGCTGACCTGATGCTTCTTTACGCTGAAACCAATACTATGTGCATATGTCTTGTAAAATTCATAAGCATTATCATCACCATCAAACTTCATACCTATGCATGGTACTTCAATCTTTTCATTAATCTGATTGGTGTGCTTTTTGAAAGTTTCTTAGGGAGTCCTAACATCTGTTCATGAGAAAAATGACATGAGATGAAGAAATAAAGTCATATTAATCTACTTACAAAAAGTCATCGTTAATCATAAGACTAGAAAATTCAAACAGTAAACACAAGACTCAATGCACGTGTATCACAAAAGGTGAAAACTTGGCAAAAGACAAATTACATAGAAGACAAATTACATAACAGACAAAAGAAAAAGACAAACATGATAAAACACCCACCTTTCATAAACGATGGATAAAGGAAAAGAACAAAAATGGCTTAATACCCACCTTTTGTTTATGTCCATCCAAAATTTTCTATCGGAAAAAACAATTTATAAAAGAAACAAAGTTAACCTGAGTTGGGAGAAGACATGTCCAATGCAGCAGTAGATGAAGAAAAAAGAGCAGCTACACGCCTACCCCTGCTTGAATTTTCGTGCGGCTGCGCTTTCTGAAAGCTCCTGGCGTTATAGGAGAAAAGAAAGCCTAAAAAAATTCTCTACCGTTTGTGAGAAGGCTCCGTCACCTCTCTCTGCTCATACTATTCTAATTCCGTTACCTCTCTCCTATATACAAGTCATTCCAACCGCATTTAATAATTAAAAGTAAAAAAAATTTGTAACCAATAATTGTCATCCATATGAAAGGGTAGCAGCTACTGGCTGCATCCTGGGATGCTGCCAAGATTTTTCCATCTATGAAGAAGCTCGATTTAATAGCTGATTCCCATTAATGATATATTTGATTAGGCAGACCTTGGGAACTGGGAAGGATCTGGAGAATTGTTAAAAATGAGTAAATTTCAGAGTAAACTACATGGTTATAATAGCAATTTCCAAAATACAATGTTTGATGGAGTGATGAAAACGATAGAAGTCCACCTACCTTGCTCCATTAATTGATTTTATTGCCCAAACCCCAAAATGTAGAGAAGAATCCAAAGCTACCATTTGCACTATAACATCATAAATATTATGATTTAATATAATTTTCTATGTAGACGCGATCGTTTCCACTAAGTGGTAGAGTGTGGTTTGTGAATGAAGGAGTGGACGGGATTTACAAAATTAGGGTTGAGACTTGGGTCTCGTTGAGGAGTTAAGAAAGTGATCGAGTGAGCTACTAACATGAATTGAAAAGTGGATTGGATCCACAGTTTGGTCTGACAAATCTTGGTTTGAACCAGACCAAGAGATCGATACATCCTATAATACAAACCATAAACCAGACTAACCATTCTTAAAGGTCTACTATCCAGAACAAACTGTACAATCCGGCTTTATCTATAATGTTTCAAACGATGTAATCTATTTCTCTAACTCTACTATACAGTCCCTATCATAATCTAGGAAGAAGCTGAATATAATAACTCTGATTAGCATTAGTGCTATACTGGATTAGTCAGACACTGGGAAGGATCTGGAGAATTGTTAAAAATGAGTAGGTCTCAGAGTAAATTACATGGTTAGAATAGAAATTCCAAAATACATTGTTTGATGGAGTGATGTATATAAAAGTACACCTGCCGTACTACATTAATTTATTTTATTGCTCAAACCCCCAAAATGTAGAGAGGAATCAAAAGCTACAATTACCCAAAAGTGAAGCCCAAACCTCACAGACAGTCACGTGCTTGGGTATAGTCGGTATGTTGAGTTCGGTTTGGTTGGGTTGAATTCGCGTTAATTGGGTTTGGTTATTAATTTTTTATTAATATGTTAAGTGATGTGGCGTACTGACTGGATCAGGGGCGGACCCAAGACAAGGAAGGGTGTGTCGTCCGGCACACCCTCGCCCGAGAATTTTCCGAATGACCTACATATTTTCGGTACAAAATTTTTTAGTTCGAGACTTCCGACAACCCTTTGATAATTATAGTCGACACACATTCATTAGACTATAAGGATTTTATTATTTAAATGAATCAATCTTAAATTTTAATTAACAATAATTCCTTTTTAATTTGTTTAAAATAACTCATAATCATATTAATTTCGATTAAAAAAACTCACAGGCCATACGAATGTACATGTGTGTTGTGTCTGGTCTTTTCATTAAGAGAGAAACACAAAAACCATCAAGGCCCAAGCGGCCACGGCCGATACCTACCAGAATACTTGTTTTTGAAGTTGGTATTGACTTTATCTGTTGCAACTGCAAGTTGCGAAAGAGCATTTTCAGCTATGAAGATAATCAAGAACGATCTTCGAAATCGGTTGAGTGACCAATTTATGAATGATTGTTCAGTTGAGTATATTCGAAAAAGATTTGCTTTGCAGTATAAGTGATGAATGTATTTTAGACATTTCAGTAGATGAAAAGTCGTCGTGATTCATTGTAATATGATATTGTGAACTGTATTAATTTATAATTAGTTCTTCCTTTAATTTTTTAATTGTTATCGTATTTTATCGGCGACACACCTCTTCGACAATCCTAGGTCCGCCACTAGACTGGACGGAAGTAACTGAAGTTTTGGGTGCAAATTGACGAAATGTCCTCTTTGTTATTCGCTCAAACATGTTTTATTCTAACGTACAAAATTAAATTTTTTCTGATTGCTTTGTACTAAGTGCATAGATTTGTAACCATTTATGTTATCAGCTATTCTATAGCCATGCTGAATAACAAATCTTATTAATTACTTATTTTCTATATTATGTTTATCTAGTTCTAGTCCTTTCAATTTCAAAATACAAAGAAATGAATTTAAGTACAAATTGAACAGAATCAAAGCAACTTTTGATCCACATCTAATGCTAATCTTACAGTTTGTGGCGATGGTTTTGTACCCTCACCAGTCACCACTAATGCGATTTCATATCATAGGAATTTCACCACTGTTGCGAGTTTGAAAAGACAAAATGGCCGACAAAGCTACACTTTTTCGTTTTTTCTGATTCTCATTGCTTCTCTCTCCAAAAACAAACACAAAGAGAAGCACAGTCAACGCAATAACCAGTAACCACAACCACCAGCTAAGTCCCGCTCCTGGCTACTTTTATTCTTCAAAATGCCATACAAGAAAAAGCTTCCCAATCCAGTCCTCCATAGAAGACTGTAACAACAAGCAGCTCAGACAGGTGCAACCAAACACAAAGACGAAAAGCCAACTAACAACAACCACACGAAACACTTCCAACTCCAGATCGACAAGAGAGCAGCACTGGTTTTCCCTAGCTTCACTGCTTCTGCATAGCAAGGACCTTGGACCAAGCCGGCCTAGCAGTAACATCAGCAATCCAGGCACTGACTTTGGGGCGAGAATCGAAGAGCTTCTTCGTGGGCGTTCCATTCAAGACCTGAATGTTGGGGAGGTGGTGAAGATCCACCAATGTGAACTGGTCACCTCCCAAGTACTTGGACTTGGACAGCCTCGTCTCGTACACATCCAGAACTTTGGACAGCTTGGCTTCGTTGGCTTCCACTGCTGCTGGATCGGTGGTCATGCCGAACATTGGCTTGAACACCTGCTCCCATCCCAGCTGCGATGAAGCCGGCTCGAAGTGGTTGACCTCCACTTGCAGCCATACTTTCATCTCTGGCTCTCCGGTTGTCAGCGGTGTACCTTTGCTTGCGAATTTCTGGGCTATGTGGTCTGTGATCGCCCTTGATTCTGCCATCGTCATACAACCAACCAAATATCAGCAACAACTCATCAGTTTTAGGATGAAAGATTGAAACTTTAAGCAGAAGCGAGAGCAGTAAATGATTGTTCTTTAATAAGATTATCTACACCTTGCATACACACATTTGTGAATCCTCTGATTTGAAGAAGAAAGTCAGCTCCCAAACTACCCTTTATTACTGTGAAAACGGTATGATTGAAAAGGAAGCAGAGAGAACCTAGCTACTGTAATCTCAACCAACCGAAGACCAACAACTCCTCAGTTTTAGGATGAAAGATTGAAACTTCAATTCACAAATTTCATCACACTCTCTTTTGATCTTCAATCAGAGGATCTACATCTTAAATACACATTTTTATAAATCCTCTGATTTCAAGAAGAAACTCAACTCCCAAACTACCCTTTAGTACTATTGGAAACAGTATGATTGAAAAGGAAAGCAGAGAGGACCTAGCTACTCTAATCTCAATTAACATGGTAGCAAATTAGGGAAAAGCTAGCTAGCTTCTGGGATAGTGTTATATTTACCGAAGAGGGTCAAATCGCCTTCCTGGTAAGCGGGAACCTGCCCAAAAGGCTGCAACCAAGAAATTAAGGGGAGAGGAAATCGAGTCAATAGAGATTTGGGTATTCACTCAAATCCAAAAAATAGAATGAAGAGGAAAGAAAGAAGACAGATTGGTTTCAGATTCCGGGAAAGATTATTACGTTGAGAGAAATGAAGGGTTCCTTCTTGTGCTCGCCGGATCCCAGGTCGACGTTGACGAACTCGAAGTCCACATCTTTCTCGTAGAGAGTGGCGAATACCCTCTGGGAGGCAGTGGAGAAGGGGCTTCCGTGGACCTTGATCGCCGCCATTGCTGCGCTGGGAGAGAGAGAGATGAAGAAATGAAAGGGGAAAGCTCTGAGGGTACTGATTAAAGAGTGGGAAAAAAGGGTTTGATGCGGTAAAATGGTGGTGCCTGTGGATTATATAAATAGGGAGACTGGAAGGAAGGAGCCTGGAATCGGAGGAATAATTTGTTTAGTATTTTACCATTTATTTTATGGGGAGGCAAGTGGGAGGCGGCTCTAGTCATTTTGACAAATGGCGGAACTTGATAGCACCGACGATCCATGATCGTGGAAAAAGTCTAGAGAAAAGTCAGGAAAAGAAAGAAAAATACCACTTCTGGGGTCTGGATTCTGGTTCTGGAAGGTTCTTCAGCTCAGTTGAAGCCCGATCGACAACAATTGTAAAACAAAAATAAGGGATTTTTCTAATAACAACACCTTTTAAAAAAAATTACAAAAATAGCACCCGAATGAAAAAATTTACACTAATATCACCTTTTTTATGGACCGCACTTTAGAGGTGCGTCTCCATCCTCTCTGATCCAGTGAGTAAATACAATGTCGAGATTAGGGATGGCAACAAAACCCGAATCAACCGATACACTATCCGACTCAATCCTATCAAAGCGGGGTTTTGGGTTGGGGTTGGGTTTGGGTTTAAACCCGTACACTATCCATCGGATTGGATTTGGGTTTAGGGGTACCCGACTCATGGATACATGCCCACACTTATTTCGTCGCCCTACTCTCCTCAAACCCTACCCTAATTCTAATTTCCTCAAATTTAACTCACTACACTTTTTCCGTGTGATTTTATTTAGTGCAATTGTGATATTTTGAATTTTCTAGAATGTTGTTTTATGTATGGATTATTTGTATGAGAAATTGATGTTTGAATTTTATTTTGATAGAAACTTGTTACTATAAATTTTTTATTACAAAAACCCATGGGTGCCCATGAACCCGCGGATACCCAGCAGGTTGGGTTTGAGTTTTTCAAACCCAGTGGATTTTACCTCGGGTTTTTTTTACTATTAACTCATGGATTTGAGTTTGGATTTGGCAAAACCCGACCCAACCCGATCCATTGACATCCCTAGCCGAGATCAAGGTTTTAAAAACCACTGGTGCAAGATAATCTCACTCAAATAATATCATATAAGTGTTGTTGATGTAATGGATCCTTGTTTACCTTGTTCCGATTGATGCCAATTAAAGACCTATTAAAATATGGATATTATTGTGTAATCCATACTCGATAAAAACGGGATTGATCGACCAACGCGTGGCCTTCACGTTGGTTCGGTTTGGTCCGGACCCGGACCAAACTCATGAGAACTGCGCTCCATTAGTGAAAGACATGTTAGGACCAAGGACCGGACCATTCTTGCATTTGGTCCGGTTCGGTCCGGTCCAAATATGAGCTCGGTCCGCCATTTCTTCAGTAATTATAAAATTCATAAGGACCAAGGACCGGACCGCATTTTACTCGGTCTGATCCGGTCCGGTCTTAACAACGGTTTGGTCCAGTGTGGTCCGGTACAGACCGGACCATTGCACACACTTACGTCCCGTCGTGAAAATTTTCTAATGTTGGAATGTGTCCGTGAAATTTAACACGTGAAAAATGAGATTTACCTGTATCGTAATGTAATGATGTAGTTTTTTTTTGAATACTGAATTCATCGTACATGTAGCTAACCTCACTATACAAAATTTTGTTGACCTTGTTTAAATTGATTAAGTTACATACGCATTTTATCGTGTCATCCGCAACTGATAAACTCTTTATTATACACTCCCTCATTTTTTTTTACAAAAGATAATCATATACTGATACTAAAAAAAATCATTACACCGCCTGCCTTAACCAGGCTACAAAATCAAAAGAACGATTCGCTATCGGGTACAAAGAAAGGGCCTTTCTAGCCACCAAATGGGCTACCCTGTTACTACGCCGACCAACAAACCGAACACTAAACCCTGCATTCTCCGCCAAGTAGAGCAACACCTCCCGGAAAATAGCCCCAGCCGCACTATCATTCCCCTTATCCAAAAGAAGTCTATCCACCACCACCTTCGCATCCCCCTCAAAACGAACCAAGAGACAGCCTCGGGTCCGACACCAGAGGATTGCTTCCCTGAGGGCCAACACCTCTACCAGCATTGGTTCAACAACCTCCGGGAAACCCACCCCCCTCGCACCGACAACCGCCCCGTTCGGACTCAGCAACACCATCCCTCCGGCCGAATGAGACCCTGACCTCACGGCTCCATCCCACCTACAAATGAGATGATTCTGGCTACCAGGTGGCCCAACCGAGATGACCCGCACAGGGGCAACCCCCTCCACCACCCTTGGAAGAGAATCCCACTCCCTCACCTGCTGGTGATATTGCCGAAGAAGGGCTGGTATCCCAAACTGTTTGTCTTCAAAGACTACCCAGTTTTGAGACTTCCAGATCCGCCAAAGTACCGCTACAATTGCCATGACCTGGGAAGGGTCCCTCATGATGGCCAGAAGGTTCTTGAGAAAGAGAGGAAAAGTAAGCCGAGGTAAACCCTGACCCACATGCACTAACCCCCGCTAAATCCCATAAAGCACGAGCCACACAACAGTAGAAAAATAGATGTTCTATAGTTTCTGGCGCAGCCCAGCACACCAGGCAACTAGGATGAACATCCACCCTCCTGTCAATGAGAGCCTCCGTGGTGGGGAGGAACCTATGTAGAACTTGCCACAGAAACACCTTCAACTTAGGTGGAATAGCCAAGTTCCAAACCCGCTTCCAGCTTCCCTTGTCCATCCAACTTACCAGCGGGCGCCAACCTCCAGCTTGCTGGTCTAGGCAAACAGCTAGGTGATACGCAGATTTCACCGAGAAAATCCCATCACCGGCCTCATGCCAGACTAACTTATCATCAATCCCCCTTCTGGCCAGAGGAATCCCACGGATAGCACGACAGACCTCAGGCGGGAACCATTCCCCAAGCTTATCTAGTAACCAACACCCCTCAGTCAGACAGATGAACTCAGCCACCTTCAAACCCATATCCTCCTCAAGAACCCGAGGGTTAAACCTGGGGGGATTAGGGTGGAGCGAGGGAATCCAAGTATCTGTCAAAACTGCCACCCCTCGCCCATCCCCAATCTGCCATCTAATACCCTTGACCAACAATTGTCTCCCATGCAGGATACTCTGCCACCCCCATGAAGGGCGAGAGCGGGGAGTCGCAGAAAGGAAGTCACCACGAGGAAAATACTTCCCTTTGTACACCTGTGCTAGAAGGGACTGAGGATCATTCAGAATCCGCCATCCAATCTTAGCAAGAAGCGCTTGATTGAAGAACTCAAATCTACAAAACCCCATTCCACCCTCATGCTTACTCTGACACATCCTTCGCCAAGACATCCAACGGATGCGAGAGTGACCATCCTCCACCCCCACCAAAAGCGCGCAACCAGCCTATCTAGCGTACGACAAAGATAGAAGGGCAGCTTAAAACAGGACATCACATGCAGCGATAGTGCAGAAGCCATAGACCTGATAAGAGTTTCTCTAGCAGCTACGGACAGCGATCGTTGAGCCCATCCCTGTAGTCGGGCTATTAACCGTTCCTCCACAAAGCGAAATGTGGCCATCTTAAAGCGGGAAATGAGGGATGGTAGACCCAGATATTTATCATGAACACCCACGACCTCCACTCCCAGAACTTGGGCTAGAAACTCCTGATCAGCACCAGTGATATTCTTACTGAAGCAAACTGCTGATTTCCCCAATTAACCCGCTGCCAACTGAGTTTAGGGATGGCAATGGGTCAGGTTGGGTCGGGTTTTGCCAAACCCAAACTCCTGGGTTTATCGGTGAAAAAACCCCAGGGTAAAACCCACTGGGTTGGAAAAACTCAAACCCAACCCAACCCGCTAGGTATCCGCGGGTTCATGGGTACCCACGGATTTTTGTCATAAAAAATTACAATAACAAGTTCCTATCAAAATTAAAACCAAATATCAATCTCTCAATACAAATTATTCATATATAAAACACCATTCTAGAAATTCAAGCAAATCACAAATTAACTATACAAATTGTTCAACACCAATCTAGAAAACTCAAGAAAATTGAAGCAAATCATAAATGATCCATTAATAACATGATTAATTGAAAACTTCTTCCTTTCAATTAAGTTTCTTCACTCTCCACTCGATAACATCAACTTCGTTCTACACAATTAGAAAGAAAAATTAGACATGTCTCCACAAACATAAATAAGATTAGTTGTTTAGAATAGTAAATATACCGAGAAAATTAATTATATGGGTGTGGGCGGGTAACCATGGGTCGGGTTTACCTAAACCCAAACCCAACCCAACCCAATGAATAGTGAACGGGTTTAAACCCAAACCTGGCTCAAAACCCGTCAACACGGATTTTACCCGCGTTGACCAGGTTGGGTCGGGTGGGTACCCGTGGGTTCGGGTTTTATTGCCATCCCTATGCGTTATATATATAAAACGCATCCTCAGGGTGCGTTTTATACATAAACCGCACCTCTAAGGTGTGTTTTGCACCAGGAACCGCACCTCCATGGAGCGGTCTGCTTTGGGTGGGCAGCGGCCTTGCAGACCGCAGGATTGTGTGGCGATCTAGCGGGCAGGAGCAACGCCACGTCAGCGATCCGCACCGTGGATCGCAGAACGCAGCGAGGAGGAGCGTGGATCGCGGAGCACATCGTGATAGAGCGGTCAGCGCCTCGGGACGCGGAGACCGCATCGGGAGAGAGCGGTTTCTGCTCTGGCAACAATTAAATACCCCCTCCCCCTCTCATTTTTTCACACCACAACAATTCTCCACTCTCTCTCTCTCTCTAGAATTATCTCTCTAAACCCTCCCCTCCCAAAAGCCTAGGAAATAGTGGTCTGTTGGTTGCGGCTGAGTCCGATCTGCCATCAGAAAACATTTCTTAGGTTTTTTCCTCAAAACCCGCCGAGCCGAGCCGAATCTCTGTCCGAATTTCCCGAA